ATTTACAGCAGAATTGCTGCCCGTGATCACACCAACAGTTGAAGTATTCTAATAATATTTTCCTTGATATATAATTATGGCGAGTAAGAATTTTTACTAAGAATTACTTATAATGCATTAAACTAAGCTGTCTAACTGATACTGATATACACCAGTGGTGATATTTTGGATTTTTTGATGCAATGTAACATAATATGAAAACGACATAAACTCAGGTACCAGCAAATCATTAGCAACGCTGGAATGTGTTGGTTCTCAAAACTCTTAAACCTTTTTATCTCACCTAAAATAAGCCTAAAAACATCAAAACTTATCATCGTTAGATAACATATTGCTAGTCAACTGCAGAATGTCAACCAACCGTAATCCATCTGGAAATTGTAGGAATATTAAATTTAATCTTATTTGGTATATCAGTGATGATGTTTGTGTACAGAGAAAGATATGTTGGCTGTAGTTGAGATTTTAATCTCTTTCTAGTTCCTAGACAGAAAAAACAGTCAACATATGGCTGTCCAAACTCTGTGTCTGTGAATATTATGTCTTATGGAAACCATAAAAATAAGAAACATCATATAAACCAGTCAAACTCTCGATTGGAATTAAGTAGGACGGATAGTCTTCTTAAAGCTGAAACAAAAAGCATTCGATATTAACTGAGGTTCACTTGGGAACTACGAATCGAGTCAGCTGTGACTTCAAACTAGGCAGTCTGTACACCAAAAGTCTAACGACTAGGCAGAATAATGTGACCACTGTTAAATACTTTCACTGAGTCATTCAACTTAGTCAGCTGTAATCATTTGCATGCAACCAGTAAGGATAAATCATCGTGTCATAATCTAAACACAGCAAAAAGAAGAGATACTACGGAAAACCTGACCAGTTAAAAACCACTGACGCTGATATGTAGGTCTCAACATTCAAATCAGAGGGATTAAACATCAGAGCACCGTTCTGCTGGTTTGAGGTTGAGCTCATTAATGGTTGATCCAGAAAACTTGTAATGTTGAACTGTTCATTTTAAAGGAATCTACCTAGCTGATTTGGATGGAACGATAAACGCTAGATGCAATGACCAATTCGGAAAATCTGCTGGAAAGCCTGAATATTTTCTCACTACTTAGGTTGTTTAGCAGTATATTTCGTTAGTCTGTGGCACCGTTGTCTCAGAGGTCACCTCTTGTGACCTTGGATAGCTCGTGGCTTCCAGCGAATATCTTGTTACCAGTGAAGTTGGCAACTGGAAGAAGCTACTAAAGTATGAGAAATATCTCCGTAGACCTTGAAATCTGTAAAACATTTGCAAACTGGTCATTCTGTTTAAGTAGAAATATTCGTAGTCATTGCAATGCAACTGAAAGAGGACTTAAAGTTTATTTTATTTTGACAGGATGAAGAAGAAACACTAGATCTCCTAACAATACTGCCTTCATGATAGCATTTAAAACGTCACACTTACTAGGACAGAAACATCGTAACTGAAAGATCCTGTAGACCAAGTAAGGATAACGATTTAATCTAATTTGTATTGACTGTAACTTCAAGTCTACTTGTCAAACTAGCCGATCAAGTTCAGTAAGGATAGCACAACACAAACATTCAGCGAATTATAGGGTGAAAAATACTACTAAAGTAATTAATATGCAGAATAAAGCTGAGTTATTGCTTTACATTCGATCACTCTTAATCACAATTTAAGATGAAACTGGATGACAGTACTTAGTTTAAGTAAATAACACTGCATTACTTTTTGTGATACCATTCAGACTGATAGTAAACGAAAGCTGTAATTCTTTTTATTCAGATGTAAGTTGCTTTATCCAACAATTGGTTTCATTCATTATGTATTTGCTAACCCTTCATATGGTGAAGAACTATGTCAATAACAGATATGAACTTGTTAAATAAATGGTCAAACAGAGAAACGTTTGCATGCTTTCCACTTGCATATCTGTTATAAATGTTACTGTTGCTGTCATATATGTATTTTCAAAAGCTTCAAACCTAGTTCTTGAAACGCAGTATTCAAGAGTGGATCATTGAGACAGTCAGTTGTAACTTAAGCATTTATCTAATTATGATTACTCGTCAGACTTTCACTAGACTGTCAGTCAGACCGTCAGCAATTACTGTCATACCGTTGAGTCACATGTTTATATTTGTGACGGAATTATATAACTCAACATGAAGACACTTATTTACATACAATTCTTAAGCCCGTAAGGAGTTGCTTCGCATTAATTTCATCATACTTTAAGTGACTTATAGTTTTTTACATGAATGATTCTTAAACGGTTTTCATCTAGTGATTTATTGAAAACCTAGAAGTATTGAACAAGTCCTTCACCGTCATATTATTTTTTAAAGACAACACACTTCGATTCATGTGATGTACGAATAATTTGTGCATTGCATAATGAATAAATTTATTGCCAATAAATTTAGTGTTTACACGTAATGATAAGACTTTCATGGTATGATAATATTTATAGGAAAACTACAGCCTATGATCCCACCAAAATTTGGAGTTCTATACAGGATATAAACATCATTTTATTGTATGCAAGCAATTATGTTAAATTTATCTTTAATGAACTAATACTTTAATTCACTAAATGTACATGCAGTGAACTAATCTTTGTTGTATATCAACCATAATTTATGCGCAGGTGATGAAAATAAAGGAAATTCAAATAGGTCATGTAAATCTACAACAATGTTTTTATGCATACATTCCAGTCACTAACATCTGTAAACTACTTGCTTAAAAATCCGTGTATAGCCAATCTTCATCTCACTGTTCACCCACTTTTGTTATTATGTTTTGTAATACTAAGCGAAAAGATGAAATAATAAGAAGGGAGATGCATCCCAAACGAAATAGAAAGCCCGCTGAGTTATAATATCGAACTGAAAATTAATTGACCGTATGAATTCTGTTACATTTGTTACGTAAGACTACCTACTAAATATAGATCAATCCCTTTTAAAATGAAGGGGTGAAATATTTTTATCACTTTACGCTTGAACAACCATTAAGCAAAATGAAACTTTATCTGTCAGTTCAAGTGAAGCATTAAAAAACAATATTCACAAAGAATTTAATTTCTTTCGCAAATTATTACACAGTATGAGTAAACTTTATAGAAAACCAATGGCTTTCTCTTTTCTCATATCTTCCTTTTTATTTTCTCTTAACTACTCAAACTTTTTGCTGAAATAAAAAAAACAATCTGTATTTCAGAAAGAAAATAAACAAATAAGTCTTCTTTAGCAATAAATAAGAATAACCAAGGGAACGAAATTAATTTTTCGACATTTCCTAACAAGGGGTACTTTGTTTTCACATCAAAATAACTACAATGTTAAATAAAATGAAATCAGTTTACTTAACGTGTTAAAAATGAATGAATGGAAGTTTTCGAGCAAAATAAAACATAATAGGTTCATTATTATTACTTTTTCGAAGGAAAACCCAACAACCCTTTGAAGAAAATAAGCCATCTATCTTTTTCAGTAGTCAGGAAAATATTTACAGTTCTAAAGAAAACTTTAAAACAAGATGCGAAACTTCTCCCATTATGAGATTTATGACAGTGTAGAAGCCATGTTGAAGATAACGTCATGGTACTGAACCTCAACATTTTTTCAGTGGACCTTCAAGTTAAAAACTCAAAGATAAGTGTTTCAAAGGCATACATGACACATTTCTTTTCAGTTGGGGAATTACGCTAAGATCAATCCACCACAGTTTCCAGTTAAGGGTAAAAATGTCCATTGTATAGAATAAAGGAAAATGAGAGAAAATGACAACATTAATCATGTTCGACAAAATAGAATAAAAGGAAAATCCATTAATAATTATTCGCAATGAAGTATGAATGGACATACACCTCATGCATATGCACAGCATAACTCATCCGTTTCATAAGTGTCACAATTATACGAACGGAATAAGAAGTTGCAGTGAACAAACTTTTCCGCCATCACAGCAACACTTCAAGAAAACGATTGGAAATGAATGTTTTTTACGGAACAGTTGGAGTATTGATTGAAAAAACAAATAGATGAAGCTTATTGAAACCAGCTAGTGAGTTTGTATCACAAATAGCCCAGGAAGTAAACATTACCCCACTGGCATACAGCAACAGCCAGAAAACATACTATCTGTTTTGATTCGTTTACTGAAACAACAAATACTGAGACGATATTGAATGGTCATGATATCTATCAAAGACTATAGGAACTGTAATGAATTTCAATAGATCGTTCAAGTAACTCTAATCATTGATTTCTTCTAAACTTCACATCTGCAAGATAAAATTCAACGACCGTATAATACAATTAATATTACTAGAGCTATACCCGTCGCACAAAAGTGGTTAGCATGGCTCGGCGGTCTAGAGGATAACGCTTTGGTGTTTGAAGCGACCGGTCCCGAGGTCTAATCCCGATGGGAACAACATCACTGACTAGGAGGCAGGTACATCCAACCAACGAGTCTCAAATAGGACAAAATTCGCATCCTGGATTCCACTACTAGCTACTATCCACCATTACTATAAAACACAGTTTTGTTTAATTATCTTGAATAATTATGTGGTTTTACGACTATTACTCTCAGCTACGTCATATGCCAGATCATTTTTAACATTCTACATTTTTGATGCTTAGGAGTTCTATGAAACAAATAGATGAATGGAGCATTGCTGGACCTATATGATTTCCTGCTTCTTTCATGGTACATGCAGCATAAATAACACCAAACTTGAATTTGCGCAAACATTTATTAAAACAGCTTGATGAGAACGTTTTTTCTGATTTAACAGTTAGTCATACAAATGAGGTGTATTGAAAAGATAGATAACATACAACTCGAACAACGTGACGAAAAAACATATTTTATGGCTTACTATTTAAAATTATGCATATTTCATACCTCAAACGTTACACTGAAAGCGAACAATAAAAGACATACGAAATCAAAATCAACTTACTTCAGTACATGGATTTCGAAGTCGATCACACCGATATCCCATATATTTGGGATGACATATGCAGGCATAGTGCAAATTTAGCGATGAACGATAAGGTGTATAGATACACCTTAAGGTTCCTTTTGGATCGCATAACCTGTCTTCGTCTTTGACTGTCTCACTTATCTCAGCCATCATCTTATCAGCTAAGCATGAATCTTCGATCTCACAAGATTTTGTATCTGAACTCCAAGAATAACCCTGAAGAGATAAGTAAAAATTTAAATGAATTTTTATTTGAGTTTTATTGATCAACAGCAGTTAGCTTTCCTGAATAAAATACTCATCACCACACCTATATACCGCTTTTTATATTCAGAATGACAACAGAAATTCATGAAACTTCCACGCAAATATGCTTAAGTAATAAGAAGAACCTTATCAATATTAAAATGTGATCTGATAAATTTTAATAAGCATGAAAATATATTGACTAGGTAATAGGAGAAAATTTGAGAGTCACCCAAATAACTCCTGGGTCGACCAATCAAGTTTCAAGATGTTAGCTTGAAAGTCTCTGTTCCATCAAAACAGTTGTTGGGGTGACCTTGAATGTCACTAGTTAACAGAAAGTTACCAATTTCATATTTTCTGGTCATTAGTGCAGATTGAACTTTAGCGATCATCTTGTAATGTGACCTTGAGACAAAAACAAAAGTGGTTGATTTTGCGGTTTGGCAATAATACAAGTAGATAGTCTTAACATTAATCCATCAGGTTTGGATTGGAATTCTGCCTTGAAATCGATTATTAGATTTCATAATTAATCTGGACATAACCCGTAACACCCAGTGCTCCAGTCAGCGATGTTACCACTGAGTTATTCAAGTCACTACCGATCTCCAAAAGGACAGGATTAGATATACTGTTTGGTCACTGGACAGCAACCAATTAGCTACTGTCTAGTTTTGGCTGCTGGCTGAATTCTATAAATCACTTTACAATGTGGACATCAAGATTATAGACTCAACTTTACAATGCGATGTGGTAGATATTAGTTGGGTGGAGGCAACATGCGAGAAATCGTGAATGTAGAATTCATGCTTGTTGACACCTGTCAGTAGGGCCTATCTCTATCATAATCACCACTGCTTGTTTGTACCCACACGACTGAACCCTCCTTGATTATGTAAAATGAGCCTACGAAAGTCTGTCGTGATGAAATCCTGGCTAGTTACTTCATCTCATGCTGCTGACAGCCTACACCGCCATTTCATGTACTTGACATATCTACCTAATTATTATTTCTTGATCTACTTGTAACTGTTGGCTGTAGCACTGGATCGAATTGGTCGACCTCTGTAGGCATATGAACTTATGTACGGATGCCTCAGTCTGATGGAATAATATTTATTATAACTAGGTTGGTTGTGAACGGCGAAGGAATCCAAGGATAGTCAGCTGGACGTACCATATAATACGGAAGATCGGTCAATTCCATCCAGTAAAACAATAGAGAATTACAAGTATATTAACAAATAGTGATAACCGGTGCTCCTTTTACAGTTAGTTGCTGTCGTGACTCGGTAGTCTGCGGATTACGCTTTGACGTTTAAAGGGAAGGGTAAAAAGTTCTAGTTACAGTGGGAACAACGCTAACTGCATTGCAGGTACATCCAACCAACGAGCCCAAAGTAAGAGGGAAAGCGTATCCTGAATTCCTTTGCTGGTCTCAACCAAGTAAATTGTATACCTACGTTAGAGACAATTATTAGCTTCTAGATAGACCCCTGTTATCAAAATGATCAAACAAGCAACCTGAAAATAAGAACTTATGCTGGCTAATGATGTCTGATTTCGCTCTAACCATAATTTCAACTAACTACTGATAAATCCAGACAGTGAAGGCTGACCAAGCTGTTAAGCGATAGAGGGATTGTTTTCAATTCTAGTTGTGCAACGTGTGAATATGTATAAGGATGATAGTTTGCAATATTGAAGAGTGCCCTTGTCATGTGTAAGATAATGCTCCAGGAATAGTCTGAAACCACTCCCAGTTTAATTATAAGAAGTAAAGTGATGTGATGTATTGACCACTTTACTTACATAGCGAGCCGCATCATCCTGGACAAGGTGGTTGCTTACGAAATCCCAGCTCTGAGATAGAGAGCTCATTTTGCATTTGGCAACTTGAGTAATCAAGGGTATCGACTGGCAAAATATCCGACAACATATCAAAGGGTCAGTTCACTGTACTATAGTCGGTCCTCTCCTGTTACACTGCTTTGAGACATGGCTACTGAAAGTAGAAGACAGAAACAGACTACAGATTTCTTATGGTTTGTCTTCGTAGTATTGCTAGAAAAGTTAGAACAGTGGAGAGCAGACGAGGAGTACTGAGTAAGGAAGGGAATTCAGTCAAAGAGGTTGTGCATCTTCAGCAAGTAACCTGGCTTATACATATGCTGCGCATTCTAAGCCACAGTCTACCTCAACTTTCAACACTAGGGGAAGTTAGATTAGTTTGGGAGAAGGCTGAGGTTAGCCAAACCAAGGCATGGTGCCAGTCCTGGAAGTCTTCAATAATTGATAGGGAGCGCGTTGGGAGGTATAAACAATTTTGCGGGAGTCGTCGAGAGGACAGGAGTCAGTGGTTGAAGCCTCTTGGTGGTATGACAGAAAACCAGTCACAATGTCGCAGATGTATATACTTTTGAAGTTTTCTAAAGTTTGAATATCCTCAAAATCCCTTACCTTCAAAATATTTCTTCTTTTAAACACTTTTATCTACTTTTAAATCAGTCGTTTTATGACACCTCTTTCTTTCTATACTGAAAGGAAGCGTAACATTGTAGACCAATACACTTGGGTACGAGATTCTACCTTGATTCTGTCCCTTTATTTGACTACTGAAGAGATGAAAATAATTATCTACCACTAAACGTATTTCAATGTTTAGCAGGGTTATATCAGTGAACGAATCATTTAGATATATAAATCCAAGTTACATTTTGGTAGATCAAAATAACATGAAAAGTCATATTGACTTACATTTAGCAAGCATAACCAGTTGTTCATCACACTTTTAGTGATACGCTGTCCATAGACTTAACGCAATATTTCTGTGAATAAATTATTGAAAGATAGTGTTTCCAACTTGCAGTATCCTTACTCAACAAATAATACTGAAGTCAGTAATCTATGAAAGACAATATAGTGCTGGTCCACCAGAGCCAGATAACCTATTTATATACTCAAAATAGTTAATGTCTTCAATGCGTTCGCAGCTTGCACAGAGCAATATTTGGCTAGTTTATCCAATTAATTAAGTAAGAGTGTCTGTGGGTCAGGTAGAATAATTCAGAAACAATTGTTTTTTACGAATTGTAATCACGACACATTTCACTGGAATACAGATGGAAATCTGTAATACTTGAATCTAAAAATTAACCTAAAATAAACTTTAAAATTTCATTCAGTATTCATCTCTCAGTCATAGCTTATGTAAACCACTCAGTCAGTAAAAATCAGCCTGAAATTCAACACTATTGTGCTGCAGTTCAAATCGCCACATCTCGTATAAATGTAGAAGACATCAAGATGAAAAATAAACAAATGAAAAGGAAAGCGATTTAAAGTAGTAGACATTCAGAGGAGTAGAGAAATAGAAGGGCCGACTGGCAGAGAAATTCAATATAATTATTAAGCTGAAGATATGTGAACGCATCCGCGCCAGTCAAATCAGAGCCATATCGCCGAGAGTCTTCAACCATCTTCAGGAAACTATCTGAAATGACTAATGGGTAACAGCAGCCTTTTCTGTCTCGATGAAGGAATTCCGGTGCACTCCTGCGTGCACATGGCATAATAAGGAACGGAAGTGACACAGAAATAGACTGAAATAGAATCTGTTCAATAACCATGCGCATTATCTAGCAACGAAGGCTTAGGATACATGAAAGTTATCAGCCAGAGCTAACAGCATACAGTTATTTAGATGATAGAGAAAAGTGAGGCGAAATCGTCGATAGATAGTGAAACATCAGCAGAGGAGAATGAGTTCTTAACTCTCTCATATGAAAGATGCCACGAATGATGAACGAAACTATGAGAAGCAGTTCAATAAGTCACTCTTCAGTTGCTCACTAATTTGTTGGACCTTGAATGGAAAATTGGGAAATATTACTGTTATATTTGTTAAACACAAGTTTAAATTTCATAAGGGTCATTTATTTAGTGTGCACGCCGACCTAAACGACAAATTGATAGCATTACTTGATAAGATTTGGTTCATCCCGTTTTTATTTGATTGAGATACAGTTGAAAATACGCAAGTAAGTGTGGAAGACTTTCTGATGAATAAAAAACACTTATATACGTTGAGTTCTTTAGTAGAATGTAATTCCATTGCAATCGATCCATTAGACCTATCTCACAGTGAAGTAGTGTTTCGTGTTGGGTCGAGTTTTGATTGCAGTTTATCGAAGGTAGCCACATCAAAGTAACTTCACAATTTTCACACACTGACATGCATTTGTTTCTCATATGACAGAAGGCTGACAATATAAAATGATTCTAGGCTAAATTAAAAAGCTATCACTTCTGGTGCCCAGTAGTTTTGCAGTGAAGTACATTCCCAAACAACCATTTTACGCCTTACACCATTGTATTCTTTCTATATCCCTTTAACTTCCCCTGTTCCTTTGAAAAATGTACAAAAGTATTCACGATGTTCCAGTATTCTGCCGTACAAGTCTCGAAAGTTATCACTTTTGTGCATTGTTAGTCTCAGAAATCGGGAAAGCAGAAAGATCAACACACCTAAGATTCTTTAAACAAATAACAAAAATCGTATATCTCAAGAGAAAAAGAACATTTGGTAGTACAGTTACGCGGCATCTTATTGGCACATAACATGAAGTATATACCTTAGAATCCTTCAAAGTTATCACCAAACGACGTAATTTTCAAACCTTCTCTAGTTCGATGAGGTTGTAGAGATTGAACGACTGAAACCAGAATTTTTCTCCAAAAAGACGTAGTAAGAAAGCTCTCTTCGTCCTGGTAACCTAGTATTGTCTTCTTCTTCTTATTTGATGGCATCATCTTTTAACTGGACCTTCTTTCATTTTGTACATAATTTTAATGACCGTTCCACCGACAGAATTAAAATCTTTGTATTATTGCATAATTCGTCTCTTGTTCATCGCCAGCTAGCCGACTTGTTTATGTTCTTAAGTAATCCTTTATAATATTCGTATTGTTTTCTCCAACTCTCCGTTGAATCATATATGTGACTGAGACTTCTTAGATTATCCTGTCAAGTTTATCTGGATGTTTGTATTCCTTACTGAACCAAGTCGTTCGCCGTTAACTCACTTCATTTAACTTCAGAAAGGTACATTCAAAGTCTTTAGTGGTGAGACATTTGAATGTTTTAGGCTGCCGGTAGCTAATGAGAAAGCAGCGAAGAAAATGGTACCATGTTATTCTGCTCCAGTTATTGTTCTTTTTCCTATTAAGATTTCGGTTTCATTTTATTGAGTTTACACTTACGCTTTCCATTCTTTAAATAAACGTAGTTTCTTTCTCAACTAAAGTGCACTAACATCAGTCACATTTTTCTTTCATTCATTAATGCAGTCGATTTATGACAAGTTACCAACTGAAAAATCGAGAAACTCAAAGCTAGATTTGAAAACAACTCGAGAAAGCTGCAAGTAGGAACGTCCGCAGAATTTCTCAACTTACTTATTACTTGACTACAGTTACAGACATATTGAAAACTTCAGAACTGGTGTCTAGACTATTCAGCTATTATTTTTGCAATAAATTGATATTTGTGAATGGGCACTCTTTAGTTTACCATGAACATGTCCGCAATAATGTTTCAATATAAATACTATGTATGATAAAACAACCACCATTCTGATAATAAATTTTATTTTACTGATAAAAATGGCTTCAAATACCATATGATTTACTTCGCTGTAGATGAGAAATATCATTTGGTCATATTCACAGAAGCTACTACTAACTACATGGAAATAAATCTTGAAAGTTTTCTGGTGAACGCCTATCACATTGTGTTTGAATGAAAACATACATGATTATAGTGCTGTACATTTTTCAGTGAACATACGCTAGCACACGACCTTATCAGCAAGATTCCTATTTTCCGTTTTCTCGCAGACGTATTGATAGACTTAAATTAAGACACCTGAATGGGTTTAAGCCATTACACTGGTCATTTTGATCATTTTATTTAGCTTTGAGACACAAATAGAAGAATTTTTAGGCAGTAGGAAGCACAATGCTTCACAATTTACACATGTTTTGATTATCTCGAAATCTCAAAAAACCATATCTAGAGTATTTATCTCATCTCACTTAACGTTTGAATCCAGTGATAGCATTTGTCTTTGAATAGGGTATTGACTTTATTGATGCGGTTGACTAAATATAGAAGAGTACTTATCAAAAGTTCCAGATAAGAACAGAAGTTATTCAGTTGTTGGTTTGCAGCGGTTTATTGATTCTAATGTAGTTTTAATCATTCACCGATACCGGTTGTAGAAAAACTAAAAAAAGTTGAGCACTGGATAGCTGTTTTGGCAGCCTGAACTGAATCACTGAATTCCAATTTGAAGACTGAATCATGAAACATTTGTTGAGGAACCCGACTGGCCTGGTTTCAATTCTTTGTCAATTTGTTGATGCATACTGTTGAGGAAATCTGATCAGAAACTAAATGACCTATGAACAGTCAAAGATTTTCAAGTATTCTTCAACTAACATGATTTCTCAGCGTAATTACTTTCGAAATTAAAATCAGAATTATTGTTTATCGCTAAAATAGATTTCAGTGACCTGTTAACTGATTTGTATGCCTGCTGCAACTAAGTATCAAAGCAGTAAGGTCTTCGAAGACATTACATACAGAAGATAATTGGAAAAGATCGTATCCTCAATAGTTTATACTCTGTTATTGTTTTGTCTTGTATTTCAGTCTCGTCTAAAATATCAACATGTTTAATAACTTTTTATTACCCAAATTTACACATTGTGTCAAATCGTTCAATTGTATTAAAACTGTTCTCTATCCCTTTTTTACTACTTACTTCTTTAAATAGTACTCAAGCTCGTAATCTAAAACAAATTAGGTAGGTACTTACTGGTTCACATATGCATTTATATTCATCTTTGAATACACCTAATCCAGTTGGAATGCAATTCTTCATACTAACAGATGACGCCTGGATTATATTATTGACTGACTTCATGACATGTGGTATACCGGAGCATTTTCTAGCACCATAGGAACATGGGTTTGGGCATAAACGATGTCTCATTTTGAAAGCTAACTTGTTCTGAATTTCCCTCCATGTAATCGTACAGAAGTAATACCAATACAATGCTAAGTAAATTTTAAAAACATGAAATAATCTTTAGACACAACTTTTCTGTGCATTTCTTTATATAAAAGTAACCGTGTGAGCACCTCAGAATGTCTGCTTCTATAGGTAAACTCTTAAGTTACTATTTATTGATATACTTGTATAGGTCGAACAATTCAGTCCAATAACTCAACGGAAAATTACAAGTATATCACTAAATAGTAATAATTACTACCCGTTGTACAAGAAGTGACTATCGTTCCTCTGTGGCACAGTGGATAACGCCAGGGCATTTGAAGCGATGGGTACGAGGTGTGAGTCTCAGTGGTAACCACATCATTCACTGGGGTGCAGGTACATCCAGCTAACCAGTCTTAAATAGGATGAGACGCGCGTCCTGGATTCCTTTGTTAACCACAACCAACCAAATTACCAGAACTCTCAGACTGTCGGGAGAAACACATTATCTACCATATAGTAAGTGTGACTTATGGGATTATATATCACTGGTACGTAGAACAAACCAAAAAACACAATAAGTGATCAAAATCAGCTGGTGCAGACCCAGGATGGAAAAAAGCATCAATATTCAGCAAGGATGTAACGACTAAGAGCAGCGTACAGTTGGATTCCTAAAAGCTAGACATTTTAAAATGCTGTTTCATAGTCGGGCTCAATACATATGACATGATACACTGTGGTTTTACAGGAAACCATCTATGTTTGCTAATGGATGAGAACTCTCCCAACATGCATTCACTCCTTTTATTCAGCTAATTATAACGTGGATCCTGGCAATAATAGAGGTGATTCAGGCCACGAAAATTTTTGTCAAGACGTTAGGTTAAAAGGTTCACACCATCACTTCTAAATAGCTTATCTTCTAAACCTGTCGATTAGATATCCTAAAACTATAAGGAAGAATGCAAACTTGATGCTTTATTCAAACCTCTGTTCACAAAAAAGAATATAACATTCCACATGTCATTTAAAGAACTTAAAATCGAAGTATTACCAAGCTCCACGTTTTCCTTCAGTTTAAAATCTCATCTCTAGGCATAAATACTAGTGTGCCAACCGAAGTCATCTTAGGTGGTTTTATTAGTTATCAATGAGATGTCTTTCTTACCAACCAATCGAAAATTCAAACAATGGAAAGTTAGCTACCAGTCAGTCACACAATCGCTGGATGCATCCTTGAGTCAGAAAAGGAAAGTTTTGGATCATTCAGTTTCACAGGTACCCGGTTTTAGCATTAAAAGGTGAAGTTCGGTTTAGAATTCGGCGTAGAAATCTGTTTTCGGCTTTCTTCATGAAGTTGAACATAATCTTATTTTATTGGCTAATTTGGGGTTATAAACAAGTTGCTTGATCACTAGACAGCAACCAATTTCATGGCATGCAGTCGTGCGTGCTAACCGATTTCTAACTCTTTCTCGTAATTTGATCACCAAGCTAGGAGGCTTGATATCACGTTGTTCTTTGGTGAATATTGGTTGGTGGCAGTAGACCTGCTGAACCTGGGTTTTGCTGTAATTGGCACTCGTTGGCAAGGTGTATCTGAAATATCAAGGAAACTGGTATGCCCCCTGAAATTCAAACCCAACTCACCCAGTGCTGGAGTCACCGACTTTATTACTGGGCCATTTGGGTTACAGTTGGCCTCCTGTAAATACACTGACAGAACTTCTCTCAAGGATGTGGATCTCCCTTGCTGACAGATGTGAAGAAGCAAGAAGCTCAGGTCGAATCCAGCTCCCTGCCGATTTCCTCTCACCGACTGATGTTGATCATATTGTCATAAATTTCATTCACGTAACAACTGTCAAAAACGTTACGACTCTCTCATATCTCTATATAAGTTGAGTGTTCGCGTAGACAGACGGACTAAATCAATGCAGAGGGTGTACACGAGTGTTTTGGTCCTAACTACCACACATAACAACAGTGTACAAAGAATAGGAGGGTAGAATAAGAGTGATATCAAAGAAGACAAAAATGTCTGAGATAATAGACAATTTCAAGAAAACGGTTAGTGCGAAAATTCAAGCCTTAGATGTCGAAGAGGGAATGCATCTTTGCCATTGTAATCGATTTTCAGCCACGTCACCAAGATTCCTCATTAATTATTTTTGTCTCACGGATTTTAACCACGGGGTCAGCATCTGTTCTCGCAGCCCAAACCAATAGTCAGGGAATTCATGAGTTAGAGCCTTACCTTACACTGCTAACCCCGAATCTTCACGCAACCTAATCCAACTTCCCTGAGCATGGCACACAGTGGAAGGTGGTGGCTTGGCATGCACAGTCCATAGACAAACCATCTCAGTTCACTGGGGTGTATATTGCATATTTGTATGCAATAGCATAAACCAGTCACTGTTTACTGACACAATAACTTATATGTGTTTTTATTTCATTTCTGAAACTTTATGAAAGTTGCTATCGCAACAGAATAAAAATCACAACGTATAGTTAGGAATTAAACGTGAGGTGAATTGCTCCATATACCTCTTGAAGATAAATGACAACAAGATCAAGGAATGCAAGTCTGATCAGCAGCGTCAAGTAGATAAGATTTAAACAAGTTCCTCCTGTTCTAGTTTATGTGTTTTCACTCAGAACGTTAATGGCATAAGCTCTCAAAATGTTTATCCGTATCAAATCGATTATTTACAGAATGGAACTTAATTCACAGTGAAAGGGCTATAGTTTCCGCTTTACTTCGTACAATACCGGACTGGTGACAAACGTATTTCTTGGCGGCTGGGGGAATCTCTTCAAGCAACTTATCTTTACCCGTAGACTGTGTTAGCGAATTTTTGTATGTTTAACTGTCTTCGTTAGCCATACACATATTAATATGGTAAGTTTGATCTCAGAAATTAGTTTTGGGAAGGTGATAAAACTTTCACAGTTTAAACAGCTAGGCATCTGGCTACAAATACACACAGAATAGGTGTGTTGTAAGCCTTCTGGATAGTGAATAAGGAAACCTTGGAAAGTTTACCTAACTTGTCTCAAGCATCTGTAATCAAATATTTCAGAACTGACGTTTGTGAGCAAAGGAGACTGCTTTTATTTCTCCTCTACCTTGGCAGTGAGATGCTATTTTGGACCTCCTATATCTTTCTCTACATCTTTTAAGTCCATATCACACTTCTTTTGATGTCTTCTGATAATTCGGGCGCTTACAGAATCCCCCAATTGATAAGCAACTCTCTTTCGTTCTTTCAAATCCTCTTTTGTTTAATTGTGTTTTCTTTAAAATTCCTGAATTCATGGTTTAATCATTGCTCATGACCATATTATGTAATCCCTGTTTCTTTCTCTCTCTTTCAACCACTGTTTAACTGTTACTGGTGAAAATTGGAACCTCTTATCTCTTCTTCAAAGCTTTAAATACATTTATCAACTAGACTGCTCCTACGGAGCTGTTGGGCGTGCAACGAGGCAGTTCCATCGTCGAATTTATGAGCACCACCCATCATGGTTGAGTAAGGGACAAATTAGAACAATAAAGAGCTCCATACTTGCACACCCAGTTGACGCCGGATATCAGGTGGATAATAGACAATTAGTCAAAATTAGTCGTCATATTCCATTGACTTACCACATGGAATGCGCACCTGCTTACATCACATAGCTGAGGCGATTGTAATCCACCTTTACAAACCTAGCCTTTGTATTCAAAAGAAGTTTGTTCTACCACTTTCATTACCGTGACCGTCAACATGATGTACCTTTTAGTATTACTTTATACACCTCTTCCCACCCGCGTTGTTTCCGTCAATATTCATTGGTTTTCTTATTATTACGTGGTCACTTACTGTTTATAACTGAACACTCATCAAAAGTCACTTCATTTACCTGCTTCTTATTTCCCATTTTAATAACTCCATCTTTATTTCTAAATCATCATCTCCATGACTTACTTAAAATCTATGATTATTCTTCACCAACCCCCTTCAACTTGATTGGTAATTTGATTGAATTGTAAACCTGTATATTAGTGTAGAGCACAAGACGAAGACCTAATTGAAAATGAATAGATTTCTTCTCTAAATCGATCTTTTTCAAATAGTTTCGTTGTTATTTTACTTTGTGTACTTGTATACGTGAAGTAAAATGACTACATTTTTATCCAGCGGAACCGTCCAGTTAGCACTTTGTTTAAGTAGAGATTTAACTGATCTGTTATCTTTAGTAATTAAAGAATCTCAGGGTAGTTTTATTATAGTGTGCAATGAAAAATACCCCCAAAAATAATATTTAAGCCACTGGTGACAATACACTCAGGAAAAAGGTTGTGTACCACTATCTGAACTTTGAGTCAAAAACATGAAAAAATTTCACACATGCAAATTGTTTGTATTAGTTTCGGCGTTCATGCTGTGAGATCTTCCCGAAAGATTCGAATGAGTATAAAGAGAAACTCTGATGTCACCCTATACTGCAAATTTAATTTTCAAACTTTACTGTTCAGAGTTATATAATACATGCCAAGGTTTTTAACCAGGGAATTTGAATCCCAAAATTAAAGGAAGGCTTCATGGGAACGTTTGCATTTGAGTCTATCTACTGAGAGTGACCAGTCATTTTGATCAAAATGGATCGAAACTGGAGAATAACCAGTAATAATATCAAATGTCATCAGTCGCACAATACGTGGATATGGAGATTTAGAGGCCTAGGGGATACCTCTGCTACATTTGAGTCTGTGAGTTTTGGGTCTGAATCTCAGGTAGAACTCAATCATTGAATGGGAGTACTTTGGTCTGATAAGTCTCAAACAGAGCGGAAGAAGCGTCCTTAATTAAACTGCTAGCTAGTAGTCATTATTATTGTGCTTTAATGCTTACTTCATTCATCATGACCAACACCAAAACACTTAATCCGGTGAATTATATTCTAGGCGAGAAGAAAAGTGAACCAGTAGACGGAGATTTATTCATGTCAAAATAAAAGATGAGGCTGACTATGTTAATATAGACACACCTTTTGCAATTTTAATCATATCTCATAAATAAACTGACGGTGTTGTTTCGTGTGCTGCTTACACTCACATAGAAGGAGAACGACATGGACCAAAAGGAAATTGAAAACATCTCTTAAGTACTTAACTAGTGTATAAACACTCTCTTAAGTAACCTCAGTTGATAGGCCAATATACATATTTATAGTAGTTGATGGTTGAAGGCGAAACTGAAATTTGAACCGTAGCCAGATTCGAACCAGCGACTGCCGGGTTTCCAACCCGATACTCTACTAACTGACTTACGAAGTTCGACTGCCTGAAACCTGGTGGTTGCTGGTTCAAACCCGACCACAGTCCGACTTTTCATTTTACCTTCAATTATCACTCAGTGTAAATACTAATCTGCCAAACCGCAGCAGAAAGTCAAAATGATGATGTATAGGTAATAAAAACACCTGAATCATGTCAGAATTAGAGGTAGTAGCTTCAATTTAATATCCAACAATTTGACCGACTAATCTATATGACTCAGCTGATAACAAGATAGTCAACCGATTATCTATATATGGATAGCTGGAATCTTTTCATCAGCCAGCTCTGCTATCAAATTCAATCATTCTCCTATTATATTTTTAAATTCATTACTCAAGATTATAGCAAATAAATCATACCTGAATATTCTGAACTTGTTTTCAGCTGACCATAAATATCTAATTGACTGTCATTTGAAAACAATTTTAAATAATCATTCCAATTACATAATAGTAGAAAGGAATGGTTATGGTATTTTTCAAAATCTTGACCACATTTTAGAAAAAAATGAGTAATTTTATTTTCATCTGTTGATATACTGTTGACCTCAATTTTAACAATTTCTGTTATATTTGTATATGCTTGTTTAATCCATGGATTTGTTGATAATTCACTTTCAACATATCTGTTACAATGTTCATTATCTGTAATATTTTTCAATGAATCAACTTGTCTATAGACAAAATGACAGTACGATGGGATATATAACGCTTGACAGTCAATATTATCCCATTTCAGTGCATTCATCGGCTTACATTTTTTAACTTGAAATTGAACTGTTGATATAAAGCCACCAATAAAATTTGCTGGGAAACCATGTTCCATGTTTGTTAGATTCGCATCTTTCAGTCCCCACAACGGTAAAAGTTCATATTTTACTGTTTGTATTCTGTCACTTGTAATAAGTATAAAGAAAGTAGTGATAAACAATGATAAGTGTTTATTCAGATACATTCTAAAAAAAATAAAATTATTTTTGAGTTAGTTAATGTTAACGGTTTGAAATTACTATTTCAAAAAAGTAACTTAGATGAGATCTAAGAAAAAACCCGGTAGAAACACTAAGATCTCCAGTATCTTCAGTAGTCGCCAATTTATTCATGGACTCATTAGGGAATAATCCGGTGAATGAATACTCTATCGACCTGAAAATCTGTCTTGAATGCGTTTTTGAAACCTGAGATACTTTGAACGAACTAGTTTGACAAAAATATATTGGACGAAAATATTCAAATTCTTCAAAATGGTAGGGTCTTGTGTCAATATTTGACAGTGTCTAAGAAGATATCTTATTGAAACACTGGTAAATAGGCTATTTGCATTGAAATAAATTTGTTTTCTCACCTACTTGTATCGGAATTTCATCGAGACTACTCATCAACATCATGAAAATAAAAACGATTTAAATGATATTCAAACAGATAAGGGAGATAAAATGGTTCGTTTTGATGCAACAAGCTTATGTACCAATGTATGAAAAAGTATAGCTCTAGAAGATGTCTCAATCGGAGAGAGAAAAGAATTACTAGGAACGTGAATAGTAACACTCGCACAACAAAAGAGGGATTCAAGACCTCCATAGTGCTGCCATTATAAGGAAAGCAAATCAGAAACTCTATCTAAGATAGCCTCATCACAGTTGGGACTAAGTTGGTGTACAGAACGAAAACCCCATTCGGAGCATAAGGTTTAGGGTTAAGGGGCTCTATCGGCCTAAAGAGAGCAATGTGTGAGCAGTTATGGGGAACCGTGTACTCCGAAAAAATAGCTGTCCAGTTCTCCTACGTTTTAATCTCTTCTGCAAACTAATGTCAGACCATGATGAAAACCACCTGAAAATCAAAATAATTTAGTTCCCCCAATAACTAATATCGACTTAGGAGTTATTTACACAGATCAAACCAACTGATTGTGGCTGGTTAGCACAGCATTACGACTTAGCTACGTCTAGGTTGATAGACCCTACTATGATGAGGAATCTACGGGAGAGTTCAGCTATTGCTTTGCATGCACTAGATAACAATCAAACAATAGAGCAGAAGAGAGTAACAATCCTAAGTACTAATCTAGTCAAGTGAAGAGAAAGGCTGGTCACTGAATCTTTTCTCATTCAACATGATATCTAACACCTGTGGTCGGAATCGTTTAATAATAATTTCAGCCGGTTTAAAAACCCTGCCATCAGTGAAAAGAAAAACTCAAAAGCATTCGAAATATGGAAACGAAGTGGCTAGGTTATATGACTACCTTAACTTGATTACCAGAAATCAAAGTTTGCTTAACAACTCAGACAGTAAATAGTCCTGCATCAACATATGCTCCATTAAATAAATCCCGTTGAGGCTTTAATAGTTTGTCGAATGTTCAGTCATATCTTTACAGGCTATCAGGGTATACTGAAGGATGAACTTCTGAAAACTACCATTAACATCTTACACCCTAGCTTACAAATGTAAAACAGAGAAGGAATATACTAAATTGGGAGGGGAAAATATAACGAAACCGGACTTGATTTCAATTCATCACAACAAACTGGAATAATCAAAAAAGTGTGATGAAAACTGGATTCATTTACTCACATGCAAACTTCAGTTTTCTATTTACACACTTATGATACATAACAAACTAGATATATTGTCAGCTTTTTCAGCCAGTTGACAAAACAATATCACTCATGTAGAGGAGTTTCGATGGAGCTATGACATGTTTTACTTTTTAGAGTTACATTTCTCTTACTTTGATCAAGTTGTTTGCAAGAAATAGCAGGTCACTGAAAGCAACCTTATTTTAATATATATCGACTGAAAAGTACAAAAGCCAAAATAGTAAACACTGTTTACTATAGTAATGATGTATAGCAATGGGATCGAAACATCCTCACTGGAGCCCAGATGCCAGTAGAGACCGGTCGTTTTGCTTCCATCAACGACGGTGTAATGCAAACAATAATACCAAAACTGTTAATTTATCACTAATAACGGTATGAAAATAGTGGCATCTTCACACGAGTCCATCTGCTAATAGTTGCCAAAACAATAATGCATATACACAAGATACAACACCTCATCTAGAAGATTTTTTCCAATCATCTAATGTCAACTGTTTCGTACAGTGTATTGGTTTTCAAGAGAAACAGTCATATAGACCAAAAAACTAGAAATCACTCACATATGCATAAATAAAGCCTCAAGACAGATTTCCCGGTTTCCATAAGTCAGTTCAGCAAGTTAAACAACTATTCATGAGTTGATTTTCAATGAAACATCCAACCTTCGTGTCCACCTGATTAGGAATGACTATGCATTTAATGTGCCTAAGTCACAAAATATTTAAATTTCCAGTCCAATAACTCAATCGATAATCGCAACTGAGTGTTATATAAATTGTTTTGATGTAGTGCTGTTGCTTCCGTGATGTATAAGTAAGTAGATGACAGATATACACAAGTGATTATTCAACATCCTCAGAAATATCTACACAGTTCCTTGCTCGTTTTAATGATTTGTTGAGAAGTAGAAGGTAGGTAACCTCGTCTAGTTTACTGGTTCACTAGTTACTAGCCGTTCCTAAGCATGGATAAAGAAGGAAGATTGGGTATAAGTCTAGCAACCCCACACCGTAAAATCAATCTAATCGCTAAAGAAACTCCAACTGACAGAGAAAACTCAAAAATTAAAAAAGTAATCCTGGCTGGAATCGGGAAGATGAAATGATGCCGGTTGGTGAAAGACTTCGGGAAGCCAATTGGCCGATGGGTCTTCTCTCGATGAAAGCAAAAGTGAATATATAAAAACATGGAATACCCACACAATGTCACCCAGACGACAGCATGGGCACACTGAGTTTAGGAGTGGCCAACATGATGTCCCCTTCAAGAGTATCGAAGGTCCTCTCAAGTCACAAAAATACAATGCTACACGCCTACAAATAATGCGGATCAAGAGAAGAAGGAGGAATTCTACAGACAACTGCAGTCAGTAATAGAAAAGACTGCAGCTGGTGACATCAAAATTCCGACGGGTGACATGAATGCCAAACTTGGAGCAAACAACACTGGAAGAGAACTAATCATGCATTGAGAGGTACACGGTGAACTGGAAGAGAATGGAGAAGTGTCTGCAGATTTCCGTACATTCAAGGATTTGGTGATTGACGGCTATGCAGTGTGTACAAACACAAGGACATTCACAAAGTGAGCGACATCAAGTTGATTTCACGAGAGGGACATACTATACTGAAAATCAGATCGACTTCACCTCAATGTGAAGAAAGTGGAGACGGAGCCAGCCTACTGGACACAAGATCAGATCAGATGAAGAAGGGGAGCAGATGTAGATTCACACCACTGACTGTCTGGTGCAAGGAACCTACATTCAAAATCAAGTTGGAGGCCTTCACAGAAGCTGATGACAGACGACCACGGCTCAAGTTGAACACCCAAGTTGAACAGAAACTGATGGACGAAGCTACAAAGGACATCTTCACATCAGTCATCGGTAAAACATGTAAGACATTGAGCGGCATCCCTGAAGGAACCTGTGTGGAAGAACATTGGAACTCTTTGAAAGCGACGTGGAGGGAAACCTGCATGACCATGTTAGGAAGGAAGATGAAAGAAGACAAGGAATGGATCTCGACGAACACATGGAGGCTGATGGAGGGAGACAGGAGGATGGTGAAGCAGAAGGTGAACCAGTGCAGTGCAGTGCAGTGTAGGAATGAACAACGGGAAGCGGAACTGAGTACAGCTCGTGAAACGCCACACTGGATAAAGAGGTGAAGAAGGGTGTGCACAACTACAAAGGACACTTCTACGACACACTGGCAAGTGAAGCAGAACAGGCTGCAGTCTGCAGGTAGGAGAGACCTGACAACATTGTATCAAATAACCAGGTTACTATCTGGTGAGAGATCAATGCAGATGAGACCAATGAAAGATAGTGGAGGAAAGCTGGTTACCAAAGAGTAGGAAGAAAGTAAACGAAGGACTGACTACTTCAAAAAGCTGTTGAATCGGCCATCACAAGCACTACCTGCAACTCATCCAGAACTACCACCAGCAGCCACTGTGCAGTGAGCGAACACAAGCCTCCCCGAGCAAACCGTACTCCTGAACGCTGTAATGCTGCTGACGTCCGGGAAAGCAGCTGGAGCAGATGGATTTCCTGCAGAAGCTCTGATGACAAACTCAGATATAGCAGCGGACATGCTCGCACCACTACTGCACAAGGTTTGGAAGGAAGGGAGGGACAATGCAAGAAGCCGTGAGAAGAGAGAAGATGGCATACGCTGTTCGACCGATGAAAAGAGCCTAGAACATTTGGATTTCGCCCATTATGATTTATGTTTGATGTCCTGTTTCACAAACTCAAAGATATACAGTCGAAAACTAACAAGTTTACAGAAGAGGCAGCGAAAACGGGACTTCAATTGTATGTAAAGAAGACGGAGATGATGAAGATACACAATCAACAACAGCATCAACAACAAGCACCAATCAATATTAACAAGAGAAACCCAATAGAAGTAGTCTCTTTCATCCAACTTACAAAGAAGCATCGTTTCAACTACAGGCCGCACAGCTGAGGATGTCAAAACCAGCCGTGATCGGAAAAGCAAGACAGGCTTTCATCAATCTGAAATCACTGTGGAGATCTACTGCACTCAGCACAAAGCGTGAACAAGATCCGGATTTCCAACACTAATGCCAGTCAACTCAGTGCTCCCATATAGTTCAGAAACTTGGCGCGCCACGAAAAGCAATTCCAACAAACTACAGACATTCCTCAACAGCTGCCACCCACGCCTACGTGATACTAAATATCAGATGGCCAGAAAGAATAAGCAACAAGGAACTCTGACCGGGTAAACGAACCAACCAAAAACCTATCACCTAACAAGTATGCTCCAGAAGGAAGTGGAGAGGGGTTGGGCATACACTGAGATGGTCAATTGTGGACATCACGCGCCAGGCCGTTGAGTGGAATCCAAAAGGTAATCGATGAGTTGGGTGTCTGAGGGTGACACGGAGATCATGTGAGGAATAGATGAAAGTTTGTGGTCAGTCATGGAGCGAGGCTCAAAAGATATCAGAAAACAGAATGCAATGTGTGCGTTCTACTGAAGCCCTATATTCCACTAGGAACCCAAGTGGAAATTAATGATAATTATTATATTCAAGTTAAGGTAGTCATATAACCTAGCCACTTCGTTTCCATATTTCGAATGCTTTTGAGTTTTTCTTTTCACTGATGGCAGGGTTTTTAAACCGGCTGAAATTATTATTGAACGATTCCGACCACAGGTGTTAGATATCATGTTGAATGAGAAAAGATTCAGTGACCAGCCTTTCTCTTCACTTGACTAGATTAGTACTTAGGATTGTTACTCTCTTCTGCTCTATTGTTTGATTGTTATCTAGTGCATGCAAAGCAATAGCTGAACTCTCCCGTAGATTCCTCATCATAGTAGGGTCTATCAACCTAGACGTAGCTAAGTCGTAATGCTGTGCTAACCAGCCACAATCAGTTGGTTTGATCTGTGTAAATAACTCCTAAGTCGATATTAGTTATTGGGGGAACTAAATTATTTTGATTTTCAGGTGGTTTTCATCATGGTCTGACATTAGTTTGCAGAAGAGATTAAAACGTAGGAGAACTGGACAGCTATTTTTTCGGAGTACACGGTTCCCCATAACTGCTCACACATTGCTCTCTTTAGGCCGATAGAGCCCCTTAACCCTAAACCTTATGCTCCGAATGGGGTTTTCGTTCTGTACACCAACTTAGTCCCAACTGTGATGAGGCTATCTTAGATAGAGTTTCTGATTTGCTTTCCTTATAATGGCAGCACTATGGAGGTCTTGAATCCCTCTTTTGTTGTGCGAGAGTTACTATTCACATTGCGAATTTTTCAGAGCATCGATCACCTACTTCAGAATATGTTTTACTCAAGAAGGGATTGAAGTCCAGCTCTGGAAACTCAAATAGACTTGATTTTTGTGCTTCAGGATTAAAAGCAGAGCCATAGCGGATCCTACATGAATCCATCAACCGTTTAGTGAAAATCAAAATGCTCAACACTCATTATTAGAATAAAGGAAATACACTGAAATCACTGATGACTGACAGATCAATTGTAATATAATTTTTGGAATGTAGAATGAAAACCTATCGTGATGAACAAAACTGTGTGAAATAGGCACATAATTTACTACAGAAACAAGTGTGTACCAGCCACTAGACAAAAACCCAGTGAAACAGTTAGAGAACTAGATCCAAAAGAAACTCATGAGTTTAGTAAAGGGCGGCCGTATCACAATAGAGGAACAGTGCTGGGTGGAAACAAACAAATTAGTCCTACGGAGGTTATACGGTTGACCTAAGATACATTTAATAAATATTTCACTATGACCAGTAGTTTCACATTCAGCATTTCGAAAGAATTATACAGAAAACTAAAGCATCTCATCAGTGGACATTAACACCTAGTCAGCTCAGCAAACAGAATTTCTAGACAAAATGAAAGATTTAAAGATAAACAGTAATGAAAGGATGATATCTTTTGATGTGAATTCACTCTTTACTTGAGTCAAATTAAATTTATTTAAAAAGAGGATGTATGTACCGCTTAAGAACGATCAAACCTTTTCTGGCTATAAGAAGATCATAGTTCCAAACCTAATAAGACTGACCGATATGTATCTCACGACCTATTTGCAATTCAGTGGGAAGATTTACTAACAAACAGGAAGGACACCCAAACTCAAGTGTACAGGAAGAGCACACAGATAGATGAAACTGCAATCACTTTGCAGTCCATAAGAAATGTTGTGTGGACACATTGTTCTCAATAGCCAAAACACATTGCAGTACTGAAGCGCAACGGAAACCGAAAGAAAATACTTATACAAAGTGTTCATAGCCAATGATTCTCCATTCAGTTTTATCAAAAAGCATTAATCAGAAGGATGGAAGACAGGGCAACTGCCTCAAATCAACAGGCAGGTTACACCACCTTACTTCAAAGATATCTGAGAAACAGTTAAATAATTGGTTCATCTTCCTACAATTAGAGTAGCAGAAAAAACAACAAAATCACTAAACAGCATGTTGTGGAAACCAACAGATCCAATGCCAGAATGTTACATGACAAATATAATCTATAAAATCAATTTCAAAAACTGTCCATAGAATTATGTTTGCCAGTGTAGTTGTCGGATTGCTCAGGTAAATCATGAACACACCAAATAATGAAGGGACATGATGCGGCCTACCTTCATTTCAATGCATGTAGGCAATCACGGTCGAA